TTCTATTCAAAATTTCTACGTCTGCCTTATGATGGAGCACGTAGTAATAAACTTGTCAGTGTAATTGTATCTTCCTGTTTGTTACTGTGTCTTCTCAGTCTTCTGCTTTTCTTACAAAGGAACTCCTGTGCTCCAGCCAACTCTAGCGAAAGCCTGATTTTTAACTCTATAGAAGTGAATGGGTTTTGGTCGAGTTAAAATTGAGCCTATTATGTCATTGCTTCCCAAATTGCTTTAAGACTTCCTATTGAATTATAAAAAATACCAAAATGCATAAAAGCTAAGGAAAAGTGGGTGCATTCTAAATTGGAACTGAATTGCACAGGTGTGGTTTGAATTAATTATCTCTTGCTCTATTCCTATTTTACCTGAAGACCAGAATGAAAACAAAACTCTGTATATGCTGGAAGTCTAAAACAAACACAATGCTGGAGAAATCCAGCAGGTATGGCAACATCTGTCATTCAGTAGAACAGTCATGCCAGACTGAAAATGTTAACTCTGTTTCTGTCTCCACAGATGCTGCTAGACTTGCTGATTTTCTCCAGCTTCTGTGCTAATTACCTGAACATTACATTGGATTATGTTATTTAGGCAATGGCATTGGATTTTCACAAGGAAAGTATAGAGCCAATTTTGAACTCCCCTGATACAGAATAAATTGCTAACAGTCCAAACATTAGATTGACTCACAATGCAGAGGTGAGCCAGTGAAGGGATATTATTGATAAACGTGATCAGATGACCCAAGACATTTGGATTAAAAATATTAAATTTCAACAAATAGTTTATGGTAACCGCCATCAGTATCCGTCTTATAGGAATTGATGTCTAGGGAGCTCTTTGAAGAAGAAGTGGATTGTAGTTGAGGTAAAGGGAAATCGATATCAGAAGTAACTTGGAGATAAACAATTTGAAGGGGAAAAGCATAACAGAGTGTTCTTTTCAGGGCTTAAAGCTAAAAGCTGGGAGAAACATTTTTCCAAATACAACATGGATTAAACAGTTTTAGACAATATGATCCTAAAAGATAAAATCCCATCTACCAAAGTGAGGGCAATATAGATGTAAGGTGGTTATTTAATTATCTTGTGGAGTGTGTCATTTGTAAACATGGATCATTTTTATAGATCAACACATGATAGTCATAGAAATCTACAGTGCAGAAAAAGGCCCTTTGGTTTATCACATCTTCCCTGATCAAAAAAAATACACTGATCAATTTTACAGCACTTAGCCTATAGCCTTGTATGCCTCGGCATCACAAGTGCACAGTTTACAGGCAGAGAGTTCCAGATTCCCACCACTGTCTGGGTGAGAGAGTTTTTGCTGACGTCTCCTCTAAACCTTCTGCTCCTTACCTTAAATCCACGACCCCTGATTATTGATCCCTCCATCGAAGGGAAAAGCTTCTTCCTGTCTACTCTATCTATGCCCCTCATAACTTTATACATCTCAATTGTGTCTCTACCTGTCCCCACCACCTGCCAATCTCCTCTGCTGTAAAGAAAACATCCCCGATTTGTCCAGTGTCTCTTCAGTAAAAGCCAGTGGAGTGATGTTATTGATAAAATGACCTAGACATTTGGAATAAAAATGTTTAACAGATAGTATTTAGTAACTGCCATAAGTCTCCATCTCAAGTACCTCATTACATCAATATTGTGCACCCTGCATAATTGATCATTTTGCACATCTGCTGCCATTTTAATTTCATTCAGAGAAGCCTGTTTCCTATGGCTCCTGGTTTACAAGTTGGATCTGGAGACTTTTTTTATATTGTGTATTAACATGCATAGCCATGAATTGGCAAGATACAAATTGAAGAAAAGAGAACTAGAAAGATTGAGAAGTGTGTGACATATTCTCAAACTATATAATCCAAGTTTCTCCATTGCCACCAACTAGCAGAGCAGAAGTTGTATGTAAGTTTTCAGAGTTTACATTTCATGGAGTCATTAGCACGAAAACCTGCCCTTCAGCCCAACCATGCTGACCAGGTTTCCCAAACTGAGCTAGTCCCATATGCCTGCATTTGGCCATATCCCTCTAAACCTTTCCAAGTGTCTTTTAAATGTTGTAATTGTGCCTGCCTGTAAAACTTGCTCCGGCAGCTCATTCCATGTGTACCACCCTATGTGTGAAAAAGGTACCCCTCAGGTCTCTTTTAAATCTTTCCCCTCTCACTTTAAACCTATGCCCTCTAGTTTTGGACTCCCCTACCCTGGGGAAAAGACCTTGGCTAGTCACCTTATCTATGCCCCTCATGAGTTTATAAACCTCCATAAGGTCACCATTAGCCTCCTAAGCTCCAGAGAAAAACATTCCAGCCTATCTCATTATAATTCAAACCTTCCAGTCTCCATAACATCCTTGTAAATCATTTTTGCACTCTTTCCAATTTAACAGCGTCCTTCCTATTGCAGAGCCACCAGAATTGTATGCAGTACTCCAAATGTAGTCTTGTGCAGCTGTAATATGATGTCCAAACTCTTGCACTTAATGCTGTAACCGATGAAGGCAAGCATGCCAAACGCGTTCTTCACCAGTCTGTCTACCTGTGATGCCACTTTTAACGTACTATATACCGGCACCCCAAGGTCTGTCTGTCAACAATACTCTCCAGAGCCCTACCATTAACTGTGTAAGTCCTGTCCTAGTTTGTCATGTCAAAATGCAACATCTCGCATTCATCAGACTTAAGCTCCATCTGCCACTCCTTGGCCCACGGGCTCATTTGATCAAGATCCCATTGCACTCTTAGATAATCTTCACTGTCCACTATATCACCAATTTTGGTGTTATCCACAAACCTACTAACCTACTGCTATATTCTTATCCAAATTGTTTATAGAAATGACGAACAACAGTGGACCCAGGACTGATCCTTGCGGCACACCGCTGGTCACAGGCCTCCTGTCTGAACAACAGTCCTCTATCACGACCCACTGTCAACCATGTTAAGCCAATTTTGTATCCAGTTAGCTCACTCTCCCTGGATCCCATGTGATCTAACCTTATTAACCAGTCTACCATGTGAAACTTCGCTAAAGTCCACGTAGACAACGCCAACCACTCTGCCTTCATCTATCTTCTTGTTCACCTCTTCAAAACACTTAATCAAATTTTGTGAAACACAACTTGCCATGCACAAAGCCATGCTGACTATCCCTAATCAGTCCTTGCCTTACCAAATGCACGTAGATCCTATCTCGCAGAATCCCCTCCAACAATTTATCTGTCGCTGACATTAGGTTCAACAGCCTGTAGTTCCTTGGCTTTTCCTTGTGGCCTTTTGTAAATAATGGCATAAGATTAGACACCCTCCAGTCTTCTGACACCTACCTGTGGCCTTCGATGACACAGATATCTCTGCCAAGGTCCCCACAGTTTCTTTCCCCTAGCTTCCCACAATGTCCTGGGAAACACTTGATCAGGTGTTGGGGATTTATCTCCCTTTTATGCATTTTAAGGCCTCTTTTGTAATGTCAATTGTTTTCAAGATATCACTGTTTATTTCCCCAAGTTCCCTTGCTTCCATGTCTTTCTCCACAGTAAATACTGATGAGAAATATTAATTTAGAATCTCACCCATCTCCCATGGTTTCATACTTGGATGACCCCGTTGATCTTTAAGGGGCCCCATTCTCTCCCTAGTTATGCTGTTGCCCTTGATATACTTGTCGAATGTTTTGTCCCGCTGAGTTCCCTCTTAAGTGCACTCCTACGCCTGCTACACACCTCAAAGGATTCACTTTACCCCAGCTGCCAGTATCTGATATATGCATCCTTCTTTTTCTTGACCAGAGGCTCAATATCTCTAGTCGTCAGTGTTCCCTACCATTGCCAGCCTTGCCCTTCTCACTAACAGGAACATGCTGGCCCTGTTATCTCACTTTTGAAAGCCTCCCACTTGCCAGGTGTCCCTTTACCTGTAAACAGCCTCCCCCGATCAACGTTTAATAGCAACAAAATTGTCCCTGCCCCAATTTAAAACTTTAACTTGTGGACCAGACCTATCCTTTTCTATAACTATTTAAAACTGATAGAATTATGGTAATTGTTCCCAAAGTGCTCCTTCACTAACATCTCAGTAACTTGTTCTGCTTTATCTCCCAAGAAGAGGGCGAGTTTGGCTCCCAGGGCCATGTTGATTGAGAGTTTTCCTGAACAAATTTAACAAATTCATTCTCATCCAAACTCATAACACTGGCAGTCCTAGTCTACGTTTGGAAAGTTAAAAACTACTATTACAACCTGAATATTCGTACAGCTATTTGCAATATCCTGACATATTTTCTCCTCAATTTCCCACTGACTGATGGGAGGTCTATGGTACAATCCCATCAAAATGATGACCCCCTTCTTATTTCTCAGTTCTACCCATATAGTCTCACTGGAAGATCCCTCAGGAATATCCCTTCTAAGTACTGCTGGGATGTAGTGAAAAATGCCACTCCCCCCTGTTCTCTTGCTTCCCCTTCTATCCTTATTAAAGCATTTGTACCCTGAACATTGAGCTGCCAGTTCTGTCCCTTTTCGCATCCTGCATTTGAATGAGGCCAAGGTGCCAAGTGCAGGTATGTTTCCTATTGCCCTTACAAAGGGATTTATTTTTCTTTCTATGCCTGTAGTCTAGTACCTGTGTATTAGAGCCTTTAATAAATTAAGCACTGAAACACTTTTCAAGATATAGAATGAGACTTTTGCTGCTTACACATGCTTCATATCAAGCAGATGGCTGGGGGAAAGCATTCTGCTCCATGTTAGTCGGAAGATTGATATCTAGTATGCAAGGGTCTGAAGGTAGAATCTAAGTTAGAGTTGTTTTGAGTCCCAGTAAACCAGTACTGAAGGGCAGAAATTGTTTTGTGTTGTGTCCATTTCTTTTTACTGTTTCAATTGACATTGTTGAGATGCTATCCAGAAGGAAATGAGCTGAAATTGGATCACATATCATTGACCATAATCAGAGTAATTTTTGTTTTCTCTTCCTGCAGCCTTTTCTTCCACTTATGAAGCTGCAATGTTCACCAAATGTGAAAATGTTCCTGTGCAGTGCATTTGTGCCGGCTTGTACAGAAAAACTGCAGATCGTCCCTCCTTGTAGAAAGCTTTGTGAGGAAGTTCTTCAGGACTGTGAAAAACTCATTGAGACATTTGGTATCGCTTGGCCAGAGGAGTTGCAGTGTGATCAGTAAGAGAATTGACTTTAGTATTAACCTAGATCGCATGATGGATCTTTCTGATGGAGAGGGAATAAGATGCAAATCTTTACAAAGGAAGCTGTTTCATTGTGAAGTACACTGAATGATACCAAAACTGTAAAACTTGTTAGATTAAATGAAAGTGGATGCTGGAAATACAAAATAACAAAATTTGAAAACGTAATGGAACACCACAACAAGCATGTTGATCTTTTAAAATAATGTTTGACCCTCTTTTTTCTGCTTTCTGCATTTGAACTTGCGTGATTTTTTATTTTAGTTTAAACCTGATTTTCTGCTTGATCCTCAACTGAGATTCAAAGCTGTAGTTCGTCACCAAGCTTTCTGTTTCCAACTCTGAAATATCACCTGTCTGTGTCTGCCGCACCACAATACTGCAGCAGAAACCATCATCCAAACCATGTCACCTCCAGTGCGTCCTTGAATTCACTTCCTGTATTCATTTCCCTCTAAAGTCTTGCCTGCTGAACCCCATTTAATGCTCAGTTCCCATTGTCTATCACTGTTTTCTTGCCAAGGTCTGTTATTGTTTATTTACCAGCTAATAGTAAGCAATGCATCATTTGGTTGAGTGTGTTATCAACAATCGATAGCAAAACTGATGTCAATGGGAATCAAGGTGAATACTCTCCCTTGGTTGTAGTTATATCTAGCACAAATGAAAATGATTGTGTTTATTAGAAAACAGTCATCTCAGTTCCAGGACATTGCTACAGGACATTGCTGATCCAAGCAAAACAGTGTGCATGGTCTACCACCCCATGCAGTAAGCTTCAAAATTCACTCCATTAACCATTGGGTCACAGTAGCAGCAGCATGTGCTGCACATAAAATGCACTGCAGCAATATACAACAACAGTTTCATCCTTAACCTGTGACTTCTGCCATCTACAAGGACAAGGGCAACATATGCATAGGAACACCATAGACTGCAACTTCGCCTGAAACCATTCTGACTTGGAATTTTATCACAATGCTTTCAGTGTTGCTAGGTTCTTAACTCCCTCTCTAACAGCACTGTGGATCTCTCTGTACCAAATGGTTTGCAGCAGTTCAAGACAGGTCAACTGTGACCTTCTAAATGGCAATCATAGCTGGGCAGCCAATGCTAGCCTTACCGCTAATACTCTCATTCCAAATAAAGAATAAAAAGAATCTGTCATAGCATTGCTCTCTGATATTCCCATCTGCATTCCATCACAATTCCAGTTTTGTGACTTTTTGTGTCACATTGAAATGCTTTTATTCTTTCTTTGGAAGTCAGAACCACTGGCTAGGCCACTATTTATTGCCCATTCCCATTCACCCTTGCAAAAGTGGTGTTGAGCTGTCACTTTGATCCTTTGCAGTCCATTTGGTTTCGGTAAACTCACAATGCCATGAGGGAAGGAGTTCCAGGACTTTGACTCAGCAATACTGAAGGAATGATGGATATAAGACCATAAGTGTCAGTCCACAAGACCTAGCAGCAAGAGTAGGCCTTTCAGCCCATTGAATCTGCTCTTGCATTCTATGAGATCATGGCAGATCTAATAATTCTCAATTCTACTTTCCAGCCTTTTCCCCATAACCTTTGATCCCTTGCTGATTAAAAATCTGTCAATCTCAGCCTTGAATATATTTAATGACCCAGCCTCAACAGCCTTCTATGGTAAAGGATTCCACAGATTCACAACCCCGAAAGAAGAAATTCTTCCTCATCTCTCTCTTAAATGTGTGACCCCTTATTCTGAGGTTATGCCCTCTAGTCCTAGACTCTCCCACAAAGGGAAACAACCTTTTTGCTTCTACTGTAGCAAGTCCCGAAGAATATTCTGTGTTTCAATAAGGTTGCCATCCATCTTTCGAAGCTCCAATGAGTATAGGCCCAATCAACTCAAACTCTCCTCATGAGACAATTTCCCCCATACCAGCTATCAGCCTAGAGAACCTTTATTTTTGTTGGACTGTTTCCAGTGCCATTGTATCTTTCCTTAGATAAGGGGCCAAAAAGTATTGCCAGTATTCAAGCTGTGGTCTGAATTTTGCCTTGTACGGTTTTAGCAAAACTCACTAATTTTACATTGCATTCCCTTGGAAATAAAGGCTGACATTCTATTTGCTTTCCCTATTACTCACTGAACTTGGATGCTATTTTTTTTGTGATTCATGGATGAGGACTCCCAAACCTCTCTTCTGTAGCTTTCTGCAGTTGTTCTTCATTTAAATAATATTCAGTCCTCTGTTCTTCTACAAAAATGCATAACATTACACTGTATTCCATCTGCCATGTTTTTGCCCATTCCCTTAACCTGTCTTATCTCTGCAGGCTCTGTATCATCTTCACGACTTGCCTTGCCACCTTTTTTTGTGTCATCCACAAACTCAGCTATAGTAAATTCACTTTCCTCATCCAAGTCATTACTGTATATGTAAATAGTTGTGGCCCCAGCACTGATCTTGTGGCACCCCTAGATACAGGCTGCCAGCCTGAAAATGCACCCCTTATCGCAACTCTGTCTTCTACTGGTTAGCCAATCCCCTATCCATGAGAATATACGATTTACAACATCACAGGCTCTTATCAAGAGCCTAACATGTGGTACCTTATCAAATGTCTTCTGAAAATCCAAATATATTACATCCATTGCTTTTCCTTTATATATCCTGCTTGTTACCTCCTCAAACTTGTCAGGCATGATTTTCCCCTTGATGAAGCCACATTAACATGTTATGCACTTCTAAATGTTCTGCTATTGCTTCATAATTGACTGTAGCATTTTCATTGTTAACTTCTTTTGTCTCCTATTCCCTTTTTAAATAAGTGTGTTGCATTGGCAGTTGCCCAGGCCTCTGGGACTATTACAGAATCTAAGGATTCTTGGAAGATTATTACTAGTGTATCCACTATCTCTGTGGCTACCTCATTTAATATCCCAGGAAGCATCCCATTCAGGTCATGGTGACTTTTTGGTCTTTAGCCCCAGTAGTTTCCCTCGTAGATGTTCTTTAGTGATAATTACTGTATTTATTTCCTGTCCATTTGTTTCTTGAGTATTTAGTGATTTTGGGATCCTGTTAATGTCTTCGACTGTTAAGATTAATAAAAAGTATTCTTGTAACCTGCTGTGCTATTTTTGCTTTCCCTTTATTATTTCTCCTTCTCTAAGGAGCTGATGTTCACTTTGGCTTCTCCCTTTCTCATATTTCTGGAAACTCTTGCAGTCCATCTTTATGTTACTTGCATGTTTACCCTCAAAGCTTATTTTCTCCCTTTTTTTTGGTTGTCTTTTGTTGGTTTTTAAAACGTTCCAAATCCTCTAGCTTATCACTAATCTTTATCACATTGTATGTTTTTTCTTTCAATCCGGTACCATCATTAACTGCCCTGGTTATCAATGGTTGGCTTATCCCATTTGTAGAACATTTCTTCTTCACTGGAATATGTCTTTTTCTGTGAGCCGTGAACTATTTCCTTAAAAATCTGCCATTGATCCACAACCTTTTTGCTCAAAAGCTCCTTCCTCAGTCCACTTGAGCCAATTTTGTCCTCCATTCCTTTGTAATAATGATTATTTAAATTTAGCATAGTGTTTCTGCTCCTTTTCAAATTGAATGACCTACCATGTTGTGGTCACTGTTTCCAAAGGGATCTTTTACTCGGATATCATTTATTAACCCTGCCTGATTACACTTTACCAGATCCAAAAATGCCTGGTCCCTAACTGGATCCATAACATATTATTCTAGGAAACTCCTGACTACATTCTACAAATTCCTCCTATGGCTTCCTGAACCAGTCTGACTATCCCGTCTTGATTAATATACTGCCTTTGTTACATGCCCTCTGTCCCACTGTATAGCTACTGTTAAGGCACGACCATTGATTTTGGAAAGTGCTGTTATGCCTCCAAGCTTTAAAAAGGTCAAGTCCTGTTCTGTTCGTCTCCCTTTTTTACAAAGTGACATACGATGATACACTATATTAAATATGTTCGATTTGGATCCTATTACAATAGGATTGAATTGCCCTTGTACTTGCTATTGACTTGAAACAGAAGTATTTAAACTGCTGGACTGGTGCTAATCAGAGTTGCAGCATGCTCCCTGAAGGAATCATATGACCTGGCTTCAGTCTGGTCAGTTTTTATTGTCACCTTTTCTGACCGGTGAGACCTTGGGTAAATGAAAATTAAATTGTGCAACGGAAGTTAAAATTTGTCAGTTTGGAGCATTAACTATACAGAACTAAAAATATAAATTTGACAACAAGGTGGTTTCTCACTATCTCAACAGGAATAGTCAATTTGAGGAGTGACTAAAATAGGTACAAAATGGAAAAGTGTAGACTATTTCTGCTGATATATTAGAAAATGAGCATTATTTAAGTTTTAACCTAATCTTTCAGAGGAGTTTGATATGAATTTTTATTTTAAGGTTAGAAGATTGTGTTGATGGCCAGCAGTCTTCAGCAGTAGCTCCAACTTCAAGATCGATAACAGAGAAGACTTCACAAACAATAGTGAAAGATTATGGGTTTTGGTGTCCACGGCCGCTGAAGACCCCTACTGGACACGGCAGTTCATTTCTTGGTGTAGATGACTGTTTACCACCATGCCCCAACATGTACTTCAAAGAAGATGAACTAAGCTTTGCCAAATGTTTCATTGGAATTGTTTCCATCTTTTGTCTATGTGCAACTCTCTTTACATTCCTGACTTTCCTTATCGATGTTCGAAGATTTCGGTACCCTGAGCGGCCAATCATTTTCTATGCGGTATGCTACAGCATAGTATCTCTCATGTATTTTGTAGGTTTTGTTGCTGGTAATAACATAGTGTGCAACAAGGCAGATGAGAAACTGGGAGCCATGGAAACAGTTGTCATAGGAGCGCAGAGCAAAGGATGTACCATCCTTTTCATGTTATTATACTTCTTTACCATGGCAGGCACTGTTTGGTGGGTAATCCTGACCATAACGTGGTTCCTTGCAGCAGGACTGAAGTGGAGTTGTGAAGCTATTGAACAGAAAGCATTGTGGTACCATTCTGTTGCCTGGGGAATACCTGGGATATTCACAATAATGCTGCTTGCCTTGAACAAAGTGGAAGGCGACAATATCAGTGGTGTGTGCTTTGTCGGGCTATATGACTTAAATGCTTTGCGCTATTTTATCTTGACGCCATTATGCCTCTGTGTGGTGGTGGGATTGTCCCTTCTGTTGGCAGGAATTATTTCCTTGAATCACGTGCGACAGGTTATCCAACATGATGGACGAAACCAAGAGAAACTGAAGAAATTCATGATTCGAATTGGAGTTTTTAGCGGCCTGTACTTGGTGCCTCTAGTTGGGCTTCTGGGATGCTATATTTATGAGCAAACCCTTCGGACAACTTGGGAAACAACTTGGGTTCATGATTACTGTCAAGATTATCCCATTCCATGCCCCAATCAGGTACATTCAGAAAGTGCATATTTTGGCATGTTTTCTATACTTTAAATGCTTGTTGTAATTCATTGCACATTATTATTTTCAGTAAATTATATTTCAGTATTCATAGTAAACAGCCACCAATTGAGATTTTTAGTTTTGAGATGGATGCATATTACTTTAGTAAAGGCTGGCCAGTTATCAATGGCATATTCACAAGTCCCACTGGCTAAATTTAATGGATAAGCGTGTTCATGTCATGTTTTCTTCATATGTCTGCCGTCGCTCAGTTGATAGTACCTTCATTTTAGAATGATTACATTTTCCTAATCCAACAACTTAGACTGATGTTCCAGTGCAGTACAAAGGGAGTGTGACACTATCAGAATCGCCATCTTTCAAGTGAGGCATTAAACTGTCCTCCGTACTGCCCTTTCAGTTGGATCCCATTGCATTGTTTATCAGAAGATTAGGAAATGCATTCCTAGTGTCTAGGCCAAATTTTATTCCTCAGAAAACATTTTTAAAAATGGATTATCTGGTATTAAGCACTTTGTTGTTTGTGGCACTGTGTTTCCTACATTACAACAGTGAGTAATCTTAAAAAGCACTTCACTGACTGAAATACTTTGGGACATCAAATATTGATAAGGCACTGTGTAAATGCAAGTCTTCTTTCAAAATGTACATACAGAAGGAGGCGTTGGAGAATGCAGGCTAGATCAGTCTAGGCACCGATGTGTTGCGGTATTCTGATTATAGTTTGTGGTAGCTGAAATATGTGACAATTTTGGATTACTTGACATGCCGCGATCATTTGATTCAGACATATTTATTCTTTTACCAACTTCTCTTGTTATTTTAGTTTTGTACAAAACAACAGGAGTCAAAACATTGGTGTACATTCAGCAGAGGGATAGTGGCACACTTAACATTCATCCTGGGGAGTTAGTTTTGTTAATATTACAGAGAACATTGTGAATTATTTTAGCCCCAGTATACTATGGCATAATGTGGAACCTAAACAGCAATTTGGAATCCTTAATTGAATCCTGATTATCAAATGGAACCTCTTTAGGATTTTGCCAATTTTGTGCAAACCATCCTGGATATGGAAATATTTTCTCTCCGGTTTCTTCAGCAATGTAGGAATTGTTGTGGAGGCAGCACACATTTACGGTTTCAAACATTTAGATGTTATGGTGATATATGCAAATCAAATTTTAAAAATATAAATTTGTATTTGCAGTCAAACTTTTAAAATGACAGGGGTCAGTTACGTTCAGTGTAGTTTCCTAAACATTTATTTAAACATATGGACTTATGCTTCTGGATTTTCAGTGGTAAGTATTGTACCATGTTTAAGTAATTGCAAGTAGTACTTTACAAACTGAACATCTATACAGGAACATATTTATCTTTATATTATGTAATGCTTAAATTATTTTGTTAAAAACTGTATTTCTGACATTTTTAATTATACAGTGTTCTGCTTTCCTTCCCTATATTTCAGAGGCTGCTGAGGCAGTTAAAAAGATAATTTTCAGTTACAGGTCTTTAAACAGTGTTATTGCCATCATAATTTTTTTTAATACTTTGGAATTATTTTGGAGTGTTTGGACTCAGTAAGTTTTTTTTAAAGTATGACACAAATATTCAAACAGCTCTGTTGGCAAAGGTATTGTGTGATATGACAGTTATCCAGTGGTACCAGAAGGTACTTGTTTTTATCCAGGGTCTAACTGCATTACCTTCTGGAATGGGGCTTAAATTGTGATATTGCTGTTGGGCCCTGGAACTAACAGTAAAAATGACCACCATCTGGTTAGTCTTGTGCTGAAAATGCTCAGTGTCATTGTCTCTGATCCACATCCATATGACCTGCTAGCAACTTGCTATACAGTAATTTTCCACAGAAACAAATGGCCACTACCATGGGGTGGGTTAGGGGCTGGAGATCACTATGAACACTCTCCAGTTCTTGTCATTTAAAATTGTGCTTTTTTGGCAACAAATTTACCACTTTAAAAAGGTGTCAAATCACTTTGCCATAACTATATGAAGGTAAAAGGATTAGAAGAGGAAAAACAAAAGCTGAGCGATTAGGCTTGCTGTTTTAGATTGCTAATTTCATCACTGTGACTAACGTATTCTAGCCTTTCTACTGTTTCTGTGGCCAGGTTTGTGACAATTTGTCAGCCATTTTGTTTGGTGCTGTCACAGAGACCTGGGACTAGAATTTCCCAAAAGTGGAGAGGTGATCTCCATTTTCTTGGCATTATTTCTTTGACAGCAACAACAATATTAGTTTATGAAGACTAGTAAGGTAGCAATAAATTTCAAAGTCAAGAAAATCCTGGAAGAATGTACAAACAGCTAGTTTTGCTATTTCTTAAAATTTCTTTCAAGTTTATTAAAGAAAATAGGAAAAATCTGTACAGAAACTCCAGTGTCTGATATTTGCAGTGCATTGTGTGTAGCTTACTTGTATAATAAACAGTATCACCGAGAGGATCCTTCTTACAAATAAATAATAAATTGCAGTTTGTAATTTTGATTAAAACTTGTGCCATTGGTGCTGTAGTACATAGGTTTACTGAAGCTTACGTTGCCTACTCGTGCTCCTTAGCAGTAATTTGATGCATTAATTTGTTTTGTTTATTTATTTTTATATAGGTGGAAACCTTGATCAGGCCTGACCTGTCTCTCTTTATGATGAAATACTTGATGACTCTAATTGTTGGTATACCAGCAGTTTTCTGGGTTGGCAGTAGAAAGACATGTTCTGAATGGGCCAATTTCTTTCACAGTGCCCGCAAGCGAGAGTAAGACCAACTTGCAATTTCTTCACTAAGAATACTCCCATTAGATGACAGAGGATATGTGTGGGTGGTATCGGAAGAGAAGGGGATTTTTTGCAGATACTAGAAGATTTACAGAGCAACATATAGAGATTGGAGTTAGCCATGAGAAATATCAAGGAGAAATTAGACATTTCCCTGTGTGAGGGAGAAGGCTGTTTTTGAACATAAATTAGTTCCAAAACACCATTAACTTAGAATCATACAGCACGGAAACAGACCCTTCAGTCCAATTAGTCCATGCCGAACTTAATCCCAAACTAAACTAGTCCACCTGCCTATTCCTGGTCCATATCCTTCCCCTATTCATATACTTATTCAAATATCTTTTAAACATTGCAGTTGTGCCCACATCCACTGCTTCCTCAGGAAGATCACTCCACATGTGAACACCCTCTGTATAAAAAAAAAATTGCCTTCGTCTTTTTAAAATCTCTCTTCTCTCACCTTAAAAATGTGCCCCCTCGCCTTGAAATCCCCTATCCTAGAGAAAAGACACCCACCGTTAACCCGATCTATACTCCTCATGATTATATGAATTTATATAAGGTCACCTCTCAACTTGCTACGCTTCAGTGAAAAAAGTCCCAGCCTACCTAGCCTTTCTTCATAACTGAAACCTTCCATACCCGGCAACGTCCTGGTAAATCTCTTCTGAACCCTCTCCAGCTTAATAATATTCTTCCTATAACTGGGCAACCAGAACTGGACGCAGTACTCCAGAAGAGGCCCTACCAATGTCCTGAACAATCTCAACATGACTTTCCAACTCCTATACTTAAAGAATTGAGCAATGAAGACAAGCATGCTAAATGCCGTATTTTGCATTACGTACAGGTAGTTCTCTTATAATATGATAGTTACGTTCTTGTGTGACTTCACGCTATAGAAAATTGCAATCAAAAATCACGTAGAGAATCACTGTAGAAAATCGCTATACCTGAATGGCAGAAAGTTTGTGTTAACCAAACTATTTATCAATCGCGTTACAGCCAATTTGCATTAACAAAACACGTGTTATAGCATAACTACTCCTACCACATTTACTCTCAGGGATCGTTTTATTACTGTTAAAGGAGTTAAAGAATGCTACTCAGTTGTATTTGTTAAAAATGTTCAGTATTTTTCATAGTCATTATTTCTGTGATTAGACCACAAATTTATTGAACTCCCTTTAACAATATGACCGTTTACATTTGAATCTTGACCTCAGCATTCCTAGTCCAGAACCAAACCAACATGTCCGCAGCAAATATTAGAAGTAAAAATTTAAGCACTGGCAATCTCTGTGATTGGTAGGTATTTTTTTCTGAATGTTCTTTTTCTCCCATCTTCTCAGCCCTATTACTGAAAGTCGGAGAGTGTTGCAAGAGTCCTGTGAATTTTTCTTGAAGCACAATTCTAAAGTTCAGCACAAGAAGAAGCACAAGTCAAGTTCCCATAAACTCAGGGTAATCTCTAAATCTATGGGGACATCTACCACAGGCATGGCAAATCATGGGACATCAACTTTGCCTGCAACCAATCATGAATCATTTGGTCAAGGGACATTTTCTGAGGCTAAACCTTCCCTTGAAATCAGTGAACATGATGCTTTCCTCCCTGCTATCCCTTCTGCATTGAACACATCCACTGGGGAACAAGCTTCTCTCCATTTATCTGGACACGGGGTGTCTGCTGACCTTCCAGAGAAAAGGAGTAAAGGAGGAAGCATATCTGGCAGAATAAGCAACCAGTCTGAAGGCTTGCAGCGTGTTCCAGATGGACGGTAAGAAATCAGTGGGTTACTGTGTAGTTTAATGATTATGATAAGGGTTATAAAGTGCAGTGGAACTTTAAATTATTAGCGAGGTGAACATTCAACCTTATGGGAAAAATCTTATTCCAAAATTACTTCTCATTTATACATGTGTTTAAACTCAGTAGGCACTCAGCTCTAAGAATCAATGTTGAATTGACTTGCTTTTCTCAGGCAGAAAAGACTCTTGCGGCTTTCGAGCTATCTATTAAAGACACTTCAAGATAGATTTATCTGTCTTTGCTTCTTATGTTGCCTGCTGCTTGGCAAATAAAATTCATAAGGTCAGGTTTATCCTTCAGCCGCACTAGTGTAAGGAAACACAAGAATTTACTTATGTATTTAGTTGGAGGCATAGCCCACACTAATCATCCTGTCTGTTGATAGTTTGAAGTAATCCCTTTGCTTTAAATAAATTTAACTTGGTCAGTAATTTGAATTAAGCCACGGTGCAAAGTAGATAGTGTTGCTTAAAAATAAATGAATTAAGAATTCATTTAATCATGGTGTCTTGGAGTACAAGTACATTGTAGCTCAATTCAACTCCAGGTTTATATATATAAAATATACACTTCAGTAATTTTTATTTACTTTGACATATAACATGAAATTAGCCTTAGAGGCATAGTGTCCTTTTTTGATTTTGTTCCTGGATTTGTGTGTCAGTTGCTAGGCCAGCATTTATTGCCCATTCATAATTGCCCATAAGTAGGTGCTGGTAAACCATCTTCTTGAACTGTTGCAGTCCATTTGTAATATACAGTTCTATTTGAGACTTCCAGAATTTTGACCCAGTGACAGTGAAGGAATGGCATCATAGTTTGGTCAGGATGGTGCGTAGCTTTGAGGGAATGTATCGCTTGCCCTTACCTTTCTAAATGGTAGAAGCCATGGGTTTGGAAGATGCTGTTGAAGGAGCCGCACGGAGTTGTTCTCTGCTTTCGTGTCAGTATGTAAAGTTAACACCAGCGCAGGTGGTGGAGCAAGCTATGTTAACAGGTTCAGACATATTCTGGGCAACAAATGGAATGTTTGAAATGCACCTTGGAGGTACTGTGATTTGATTTGAGGATCAAAGCTCTTCTGCCTGAAACTAGACCTTGTTAAATACTACTTTATTTCAAGAAATCCTTGGGTTTCTGGCAGTGTTGCCCACAGACTTCAGGTAGAGGTACAAAGTGTTTCTAAATTTTTTTGCACCCACAATTTTGATAGTTCTTTTTAAAATTCATGGAACATGAGCTTCAATGGCTAGGCCAGCATCTAATACCCACCTTTACGTGTCCCATCTTTACTTGTCCCTGAGAAGGTTGTGGTGAGCTGCAAACTTGAAACCCTGCAGTTCATCAGGTGGAGATACTGGGAAGGGAGTTCCAGGATTTTGACTCCTTGACAGTGAAAGAGCAGCAATATGTTTCCAAGTTAGGACAGTGAGTGACTTCAAGGGGAACTTGCACCTAGTAATTCCATGCATGTGCTGTCCTTATCCTTCTCAGTGGTAGAGGTTGCAGGTTTGCAAGATGCTGTCTCGAGAGCTGTAGTGATTTGCTGCCGTGCATCTTACAGATGGTACGCACTGCTGCTACTCTACTTCAGTGTTGAAGAGAGTGAGTGTTGAATGTTTTTGATAGGTTACTGATCAAGAAGGTTTCCTTTTTCTAGATGGTGATAAGCTTCCTGAGTGTTGACACTACATTCCGCCGTCAAACTGCTGACTTGTGCTTTGTTGATGACAAACAGACTTGGGGAGTCAGGAAGTGAGTTGCTTGCTTCAGGACTCCTAGCCTCTGACCAGCTGTTGCAGACACAGTATTTGTATGGCTAGTCCAGTTCAGTTTCTGGTCAGTTGTAATCCACAGAATGTTGATAGTCAGGGATTCAGCAATAGTAATGAAGGGAGATGAAGAACATCATGTCACCTTTCAGTTAGCCACTGTCCAGACTTACAGGCTTAATATTGAGTTCATCAATTTCAGCCCATCATCTCTGTCTCCATTTTGTTTTCTTCTTTCACTACTTTTGGTTATACTATTGTCAGAAACTTGTTTTTGGTTTCAAAAATAAGTTATTCATCATTTTGCTATCTACACCTCATTAAGACACGTCTTTTGTTTCTTTATTTGTTCTGTTTTGGACTTAATTATCCCTTATTCTTGCATCACCAACTCTCCTGTTTTCCATCCTGTCACTTTTGTTTTTCTCCCACCCTTCTCCAGCTTATACATACAAACAGGCGCACACATGACTTATTACATTTCTGATTTCCAAATGGCAAGTCATTATCCTGGAAACATAGCTCAGTTTCTCACGTCACACATGCTGCTGGACCTGAATATTTCCAACATTTTCTGTTCTTATTCCCTCTATTTTCATGTGTTCTGCATTATGCTCTAGAATGCCTAAAATCCACACTGTTTAAACGTAATGTTGGTTCCAGACAACTCTCTTTCTCACAGTGCCTCTGTTTTAATGTAACAACAAATATAATTTTATAACGGCTTTCCAATTATGCTCTGCCCTCCTTAATTTGCTTCACCTTAAGACTGCATTTTGATTCTACACGTAACTCCACAGGAGATTGTTTACTCTGTAATTAATAACTGTTTGTTTATTTTTGAATACAGATTAACACCAAGAGATGACTATGCTGAGGAGCAGACAATACAATCTAGCTGTGTCCTTGTGCCCCACTATCCACAGCCCAGTAGCAGCAAGAGCTCTGCTTCTCTTCTTGTGCACGCGTTGGCAGATATCACCAAGTTTGAAGACCCTGAGAATGGTGACTCAGATGCCTGACCATGTTGGATTGACATGTCTTAGCATTTGGACTGTAGCCCATGCTTTGTGAAATTTGCATCGATAACATTTCGTTTATGAGTTAGTTTTTTCTTTAGTTTTAGAGAGAAAATTTAAATGCACTACAAATAACAGTCTTAAATAGTTTGAACTTGAGTACTAATCTGAAAGCTCAACTTGGACAGTCACTACAAATATCAGAGGAACATTTTTTCATACTTGTCCAGGCAAAGTTTTTTTTGATACTGTAAAATATCATGTGGTGATCCTAGTTTTGTATTAGTGTTTATGGGGTTGGGAGGGGGAGAAATTGAGTTCAGTCAATATTGTCTTTATTTTTATGCTTTATAAAGTAGGCAGTGGCAGCAGTGATTCTCTGTGGTATCTTCTTCTATTCAATCATACACTCATTTATAATGTTATTTTACCTTGCATAGTGGTTGTGTACTTACAAAATCTCTAGTGCAGCTTGAAATAATGATAAGTAAGGTGTAACTGCTGCTGCTGTTGTGTATCTGTTCTGATAACTTGTGTGCAAGCTCAGTTACGATAGTTGATTCAACAGGATTGTGTATACTTTATACAGATTGAAGACAGAGAGACCTGGCAGTGTACCTACATCTTTGAATGTGTAATATGGCCATTTTAGAAGTCTGTTATAAGGGCAGATTGATCCTTAGCTTTATCAATAGAGACTGAGGACAAAAGCAAGGAAAATGTCCCAACCATGGTACTTAGGCCTCATCTGGAGTATTGTAGATACTGTGCTACTACACTTCTTAGGAAGAATGACAAGATCTTGAAATGGATGCAGAAGGAATTCACTTGCATAATACCAATTATAAAGGATTTCACTCAAATGTAAATATTAGAGTACTGGGATTACTCTCCTTCACACAGAGATGGTTAAGGGAGGATTTTAATAAAGACATTCAGAATCCTTTAATAGGGTAAACAAGGAGCAACTGTTTCTGATGCCATAACAATTGGTAATCAGAGTGCACAGACTAAAGCAATTGACAAAAGGACCAGAGGTGACATGAGGGGAAAATGAATCTGGAATGCCTTGCCTGAAAAGGGTGGTGAAAGTAGATTCAATAATCATTTTCAAAAAGGAATTATATAAATACTTTATGCAGAAACCTTCTGGGGCTATCAGGTAAGAGCAAGGGATTGAGGTTAAGTACCTAGTTGTTTGAAAGAGCAGATCCACAGTTTTGAAAGGGAGTTTCAGGGTATTAAAAACCAAAAGAACTGTGGATGCTGTAAATCAGGAACAAAAACAAGCTGCTGGAAAAGCTGAGCAAGTCTGGCAACATCTGTGAAGAAAAAACTCAAGAGTTAATGTTTTGTGTACGGTGACCCTCAATAGTTCTGAGGAAGGGTCACCAGATGCAAAACGCTAACTGATATTTTCTTCACAGATGCTGCCAGACTTGCTGAGCTTTTCTAGCAGCTTCTGTTTTTGTTCCAGGAACTAATATGGATTACAACACATCTCCCACTCTCTATATTTTAACTCTGGTTTTTCAGTTCATTTCCACCTAGTCTCCAATTCTACCATGTTTTAAATCTTAGCACAAGGTAAGAATTAACATATGTATTTATGAACAGGGAACAGAGTATGCTACTCAACCCTTTGAGCCTGGTGCTCTATTCATTAAGATCATGGTTGATCTGAATTTAACCTCAACTCTACATTCCTGCAGTTCCCTGATAATTTTTAATCCTCTTATAAGTCATGTATCTATCTACCTCTGCCTTAAAAGTGTTTGATTCCCTTTTGAGGAAGGAAAGTTCAAAGAATCTGAACCCTCTGAGGAGAAGTATGTTTCCTCATCTCTGTCTTAAATGGGCAACCTTTCATTTTTAAACTATGGCACCTAATTCTAGATTCTCCCACAAGAGGAAACACCTGGTCAAGTCCCCTCAGGATCTTAAATGTTACAATTCAGTCACCCCTGACTCTTTTAAACACCAGAGGACACCGCCTTCTCTCAAAAGGCAATCTGCTCAATGCATGTATTAGTCTAGTAAACTTTCCCTGAATTGATTCTAAGGCATTAACATCCTTCCCTAAGTATGTGACCAGTACTGTACACAATATGCCAGATGCAGTTTTACCAATGCCCTGAATCTGGGCTTGCTATTGTTTTTGAATATTGTGTTTCTTATGCCATCACTTGGTCAAGATTTGATTCCATTTTTAGATTTTTTTTTTTTTTTAGAGCTGCAGTGGAGTAGATGGATACAAAGTAGGTATTCATTACCACATGAATTTTCAAAATATAAAGGTAAAGTTAAAGTCACCATTGTCCAGGCTTGCCTTCTTATCAGAGAGCTGACCTGTGGTAATTTAACCTGAAGGTCACCATACCTCAAGCGAGGGAAAAGGTTGAAAAGTGAGCCTTTCCTGGTAACCACAGCCATTATGGGAATTGAAACTATGTAGTTGGCATTACTTTGTATTGCAAACCAGATATCCGGTCAACTGAGCTAATCAACTCCATTTACCTTTTAAAATAATGCTTTTAGCGATGAGGAAAATTATTCAGAGCAAAAAAGAAATCAGTTATTGTTATTTGGTCTGTAACAAAAACATAGACTATTTCTGCCTCTTTCCCACAGTTTCCCTGCTTTGCTGGCTAAAAGTTCACCAGCCTTACCAATGATACATGTCTGAGAAATAGTTGTTTTGAACGAAGAAAATTGTGTTTTCTATAATGAAATATCATCTAAAACTGTTCAGGTTCAAGTGTTTGATCTCCCTATTAGTAGAACCTAATGTTCCCTGACTGCCTATTCTGTAGATCTAATTTGCACTTGAGTAGGTGGCGTTTTATCTTGTAAACAGTTGTATTGGACAAAGTTATCAGATGTTCCCATGTCTTAATTAGCATTGGCAGGATATCTGGACTAGTTGCAAAGTTTTAATTCCTGCTCTGCTGAGCTAATGTGAGTATTTGACTCCAATAAGCTAATTCATCCTGAAAAAGACCTTCAAACTCTGATTTGCTCAGTATATCTACGCATCAGTTGCTCTGGTATGGACAGGGTAGCTTTCTGCATCTTTCCTCTTTTCATTAGCCAAACACCTAAACAATATGACCTCTTTTTTCGTATTATTTTACATTCAGGATATTTCTTGCACCTCTCTTGAACTTTTTAGACCAGAAAATGGCATTTTTTGGCTTTCAATTGATGAGCGCTGTTATCCCAGAACCTTTTAGTTCAACTCATTTTGCAACTCTTAATTAGTTTTTTTTTTCAAAAAAGAAAGGTCCACACAAGATCCTTTGTCGCTAACTGTTGCGTTGTTTCCTTGATATATGATGACATCCCTTCTGCATCACTTGCCTATCAGATATTGTAAAGCTCTTGCCTTTAACCATAGGTGATGAGGTGATATCCCTTCTTGTTCCTGATGGAACATACGAAAGTTGGTCAGTATTTTGTGTGTTCCATGACTTCGGCTTCCTATTTTTCTCCTGAGACTCAAACTGGTTACTGTTCCTATCTAGAATTCTCTCATGCTTGGGTACGATTTACAACAGCAAAACAGACCATTTAGCCCAACTGCTTCATGCTTGTTTTTATGCTCCCACAAGTTTCCTCCAAATTTCTTCTGTAAGCCTCTCCCTAGTATTCATATCAGTTCCTCTATACTACTAGTTACTTCAGCTATCGTTATGGTATCAAATTTCACACACTAACCATTCTCTGTTTAAATAAACGTCCTTCTAATTCCCTGTTGGATTTATTAGTGGCTTTCTTGCATTTATGGACTGTAGTTCCGGCCTCATTCACATCAAATTATCATCACTATATCAATCTTTTCAAACCCTTTCATCTTCCTCAAATGTCTGTCAGGTTATCCCTTTGTCTTTTCTAGCATAGAATGCAATCTGTTCAATCTTTCCTCATGGATATATGCTCACAGTTCTGATAACATGTTTGTGATTGTTTTCGTACCTTCTCCAGGCCTTTTTTGTTTGTTTTTAAAGTTTGGAGATCAGACTTCAGTTACAGAACCTTTCTGAAACCATGCAATTTTACATAACTTTTTGAATTTTTAACTCTTACACCTCTAGACATGAGTTCTAATAGTTTGCTTGTTTAAATGGCTTTGTTAAATTGCTCTTTTCTGTGGAAGATTGGGCAATTCAGTTTCTTCTCCGCTGATTTGTGCTGTGCACACATTGCATAATTATATTTTTATGTCTTAAATTTTCCTCTTCACTTTTGTGAGTTTTAAGTGCAGCATCTTGCTGCTTTCTGTGAGATTATTTGGACTCTGACCCACCTTGTTTGGACCAGAGGCCCTCTTCGTGTGATATCATTCTTTTTGATTTAGTTTAATTGTGTTTTCCTATTTTTACTTTTCCTGCTCTTTCGGTCTTATAATTTTTTTCCATTGTTTTTGTTTTGTGTATTTGTTTAACTATCTCAATGAGTAAGGGATGATGGCGATCAAAAAGTAATTTTGCAGTAATGCTATCGTAAAAGGACTTAGTAGAACCATTACAAGCAGATAGCAGGCATGCATTTTAGTTGATGCTGTTTTTCAGTTTTAATTTTCCTCTTTGTAGTGGTAGAAAATTAATGTCTGAAACCATTTGTGGCTTTATTAAGCTGTGAAACACTGGTTTGCTGCTTCAAAATGGGAGCTGGGGAAGCTGATAAGGATCGCCACTGTGGAAAATGGTGGTAGGAGTTTATACTGTAGCTGTTCTGAGACTTGAACAGATGGTGTGAGTTTCACCAAACAATGATTGACACCAACTGTGGACAAATGGGCAGCACGGTGGCTCAGTGATTAGCACTGCTGCCTCACAGCGCTAGGGACCTGGGTTCGATTCCACCCTTGGGCGATTGTCTGTGCGGAGTTTGCACATTCTCCCCATGTCTGTGTGGGTTTCCTCTGGGTGTACCAGTTTCCTCCGACAGTCCAAAGATGTGCAGGTTAGGTGAATTGGCCATGCTAAATTACCTATAGGGAGGTGTAGATTAGGTGGGTTATAGGGGGATGGGTCTTGGTGGGATGTTCTGAGATTTGGTGTGGACTTGTTGGGCTGAAGGGCCTGTTTCCAAACTGAAGGGATTCTATGATTCCAGTAATTTTTTTTGTTTCTTTACTAGAAATATTATCTTTTGATTTTTGTGTCATGAAATCTATTGTCAGTTATTCTGGCCTGATCTTTACACTGTTACAAATCTCTCTCTTTTATTCCCAAAATATTGAATGTTTTCAAGAAGGAGTTCTTCAGGCTAAAGGGATCAAAAGGTATAGGGAGAAAGCGGGAACCTGATACCAAGTTGCGTGATCATCCATGTTCATATTGAATGGTGGAGCAGGCTTGAAGGACTGAATGGCCTATTCATGCTTCTATTTTCCATGTTTCTATGTGTGTTCTTCCTTCACTGTCCCTGCTTTTGCTCAAAATCTCTTTACATTTCTGTCTTCCTTCAGTCTTGAAGAATGGCCCTTGATTCTGCTTCTCTCTCTCTCTCTCTCTCTCTCTGCTGCTGCCAGAGCTGAAAGTACTGGAAATATTCAGCAGTTTTTTTTATTTCAAATATCCAGTATCCACAGTGTTTTGCTTTTGCTGGTGATCTAACTGTTGAATTCCCTGAGCAGCAAGTCCTCATTGCTGCCACTATGTGGCCAAGCAGGAAAATAATTTTTTTTCTTACTATTTGCATATATGGAACATTTTAAAAATCACCATAAATGTAGGTTTCTAAGAGGTTTTGAGCTGCAATGAACCAAATTAGACATCTAATGAAAGAAAATATAATTTCCTTTTTTTAATGCTTCCAAAGCAATAAGGTATCAAGAGTACAAGATAAGCAAAATCAGTGTATTTCTTGTGCAATGAGAACAAGACAGAAATATAACTGAATATCTCTGATCTAAAGTGGATACTAGATGCTGGATCTGGTTTTAAAGGGATGTTTTATAACCCAGCAGTATTGATTACGTTGTTACAAGGTCACAAGAACAGTGTATACTGAATGAGCTAAACAACCAACTCTTTAAGTTAAGCTGTTTTAAAGAAATGCCTGTTTTTTAAAATATAGTTCACTTGTAGTAATTTGTATGAAACTTAATCATTACATTTTAAGTTAAGGATGTATGTCCTGAACATGAGTTTTACTTTGATATTTATTAGTGTGAAATAGCCAAAATCACTGGAGACCATTTCAATGTGCAATCATTTTTCATTTATTTACTCTAAGTATAAATACAGAGTCTACTTAACTAATGGAAAGTCACTGGAATGCAT